TGTGGCTTGATATACCATCGTTGTAATTACATATAAAACTTCGTCTATACTCTAATAAAAAGTTCCCCAGACCAAAAAGGTCATCTTAATACCAAAAAAAATAAAAAAAATAAAAAATAATAAACAGTATTGGCAAGACTGCTAAATTAAAAAAAAAACAATAATAATAAATTGGTTAATATTTATCTCTTTAGATATAAGTAAAAAAAAATTTATTTTTATTAAATTATATTCTGGCTACCTTACTAATAGAAATAGCAAAGATCAAAAAACTGGATAAAGGCAAATGTGATTAAGATAAGTAATATAAATAGTAGTAGAGTATAGTTTAATAGAGTAGTAAAGTATAATATATTAAATTAGCAAACACATATATATAGTTAATAAAGTCATAACTAAAATATTGTGTATATTATATAAATATATATAAAATTTATACAAATGTGACATTAAAAAAACTTAACTTCAGGCTTCTAAAATTACAATATTAGATCTAATTTTAACAGATTTTAATAAATCGAGTTTAAAATATTAATTTGATTATTTAAAATCCTAAAGTTTGATATAGTTGTTAAATAGCAAAAAGCAGTGATCTTTATAATGTTTTTTTTCTCCCTTTTTTAAAAAAATAAAATCAGTTTCTTTTAAAAAATAAAATCATTATTTCATTTTAAAAAAAATAAATCATTATTTTGTTTAAAAAAAAATAAACTTATTATTTTATTTTAAAAAAAAATATTTATCAGATATCTTTGAATGATATTAGTTATAATAAAGAATTTATTCTATCAATTAGTTCTTCTGAGGATGAAAATTTTTTTAAAAAAAATAATTTTTTTAATAAACCTGATAAAATTTTTTTTAAAAAATAGTTTTTTTAATAAAAACTTTGGAAATTTTGACATTGATAATATATTTAAAAAAGATAGATTTTTTGTAAATTTTTTTTTTAAAAAAATTTCTAAATTTTTGTTTAAAATAAAAAGCTTTGAAATATTTCTAACCAAAAATTTGACTGCTAAAGAATAATTCATTCATTAACTCTAATTGAATATTCACTAATATGCAAAGAAGGAATTGCAATTATTTATCATATAGATAGATGGAAAAGTATAGATTCAGCATTTACAAATATAATATTTATTATTATTGTAACTATAATATTGGTAAAATCAAGCCACTTGCTGTTATCTTGGTGTGGAAAAGTTTAAAATTAATGAGTGCTATTCTGCAGTAAATTCTATTTTATATATTATTTTATAGTATTGTTATAGAACGAATTAATTATTAGTTTATTATTTTATTATTTATTATTATCTTGTATTATTATTAACATGTTGCTCAGTCGCTTAGTCGCTCAGTCGCTTAGTCGCTTAGTCGTTTAACTATATAGTCGCTTAGTTGCTTAGTTACTTAGTTGCTTAGTTGCTCAGTCGCTTAGTCGCTTAGCTCACAGATATATAAACCCCACCAATTTTCCCAAGTTAGAATAAGCAACAGACACCCCTCTTCCCTTTATTCTTGTAAACAATATTTAGGATTCTTTAGGAATAGATACCTAAGGATAGCCTTGTATTCTTTATATTAATAAACGACTCTTTGACTATAAACTGTTTAGATATTTCCCCTCTAGGGTAATTCCTACAGGCAAGGTTTATCTCTCTCTTGTGTTAATAAGTTATTATTGTTATTGTATTCCCCACGAACTGCCTTAGAGAAGGGTATAGTTTCTTAAAGAGAAAAGAAGCTATACTTACCTCTTGGATACCACATATACCTACGAAAGGATTCCCTGTACCATGTCGTCGTTATAGAGTAAATTAAGATGGCTTTACTCTGTAACAATATATAGCTAAAGATTAGAATCGATGTTCTCTACATCATCAACTAATCAAAGGGAAATGTTGTAAATATAATTTGTTTAATCGTTATGATTATTCAAATTGTAAGCTTTGTAATAAAGATTGTTGGCAATATCGAACTTTTGCACGTTGCACTGATATAGAAAATCCTGAACCATTTACATTTATATTTGATAAAACAAAATTTGAAAAAAAAATAGAAAAAAGTGAAACAAAAGAATCTAATTCAAACAAGTCTAAACAAGACGATGATTATAGTGCTTATGATGAAGCTATCGAAGAGCTCAAAAAAGAAAAAGGAAAAAATTTAAATACAGTTTTTAGAAACTATTCTTCAAGATGTAAAAAGTGGTCTCATTCGCCACAAGGAATGAAGATTCTTGCTAAAGCTTTTCAAACTGAAGACTCAAATTCTTTACAAAATATTTTACATTATTAGGAGCCTTGTAACATATACATATACGGTGATAAAGGTACAGGAAAAAGTAATTTTTGTACTGATTTATTTCCTAGAATATATGAAAAAGATAATATGAAACAATGGGAAAATTATAACAATGAAAACTTTGATTATAATCGGGATATTGCTATTTTATTAGATGATATTTATAGCAATTACTTAAGTTGGACAAATTAACTGATTGAAAACATTGTAAAATAGATATGAAATACAGTAAAACAAATATTATTGCAATGTATATTTGTATTATGGCCAATGGATCAATAGAAAATCTTTATATAAGGCTTAGAGATTATAATTCTTCAATTAATATTGATGCCTTCAAAAGGCGTGTTCGCTTTATTATTAAATTTGAAGAAGAACCAATTGATCCACATATTGGAATAGGTGATGTCATACATATTTTTGAAAAAGAAAATAAGCAAGATTTCAATAATCGAATTTTTGATATAGAATTTAATAAAAATACAATACTGGAACAAGTTAAAGCAGTTACAGTAAATTTAGGTGTTAAAGGTGAAATATACCAAGATGAAAAAACTAGATATTATTATTGGAGACAAATTTGGGAAAATAAAATTAATGAATATTCGATAATAAAAGATCTTGATAATATTACTGATCAAATAATAACAAATATTCCAAAATCTAAACCTGGTAAAAAAAAATTGATATTTTTTTCAGAAAATAATAATGCAAAAAAATTAAATTATTACATAATTTTAAATTAGAATCAATTTAAAATACTAAAAAATTTCATACAACTGTTGAATCAGATAATAGAATTGAACCAGATTTTGATTCAGATCTTCAAATAGAATCATCAACTTAATAACAAAACAATTATAAGTACTCAGAAAATTTTAGCGAATCAGAATCTGAATCAGAGTTATCAGATCTTTATTCAGATAATTCTGAAAATACCAAAAAACAAAAAAAAAGGAAAATTCAGAGCTATTAATGAATTTGAAGTTAATATTATTGACAATACTCAAGCTACTATTCAGGTAAATCATTAAGAATTAAACAATAATGGTAAACATATTCATGAATCTGAGGAATATTTACTCAGTGAAAATGATTTATTTGAAGATAATATTCTTAATATTAGTGAAGATTCATTAGTTATTAAAAAAGCAAAAATTGA